TATATCTTGTAATAAAAATAATTTTAGTGTATTTTTCTTCCTAATTTCTTATTGTTGTTTGCTAATTTTGAGGAAATTGCATACACTTCCTATTAAAGTGGTATCATATCACTTTTTTGGGACCTATGATGGCAAAAAAAGTTGATGCCTTAGAAGAGCGTCTTAACGGAAAAGTTGGCCAATTCAAATCGGCATTTAAGGATAGAATGACATCAATGGAGGAAAAGTTTTTAAACCTAGAAGGAATGATAAGGAAATTATTGGAGCTTCACACCCAAGCGACAACATCGGAGGTGAGAGCATTGTTGATTGCATTGCAAAGTGGAGGAAACCCTAATATAGGGATTATGAGGGGGGGGGGGGGGGGTCGGGGGGGGAAATTTTTGGGGGGAGAAGACCCAAGCAAGAAGAGAAACTTGAGTTTTCTTGCCACCAGATTTCTTCCAAGGAGGGGAAAGGGTGAAGGAGTGGGGTTTTTAATGGAGTTGAAAAGTTTGGAAGAAGAAGAAGAAGATGGGGAGAAAATAGAAGCACCAAACATGGTTCAGCCACTCCTATAACAATATCGGGAGTTGTTCCAGCCAATTCAGGGGCTGCCAACTCCACAGGAATGTGAGCATGCAATCATCTTGAAGGAATGAGTCTCACTTATCAGTGTTTGTCTGTATATCATCATTCCCAAATCTAGAATGATGAGATCGAGAGATTGATTAGGGAGATGCTGGAGAAAGAGATCATTCGACCCAGTGTTAATCCATTTTTTTAGTCCAATGTTATTAGTCAAGTGCTTCAATTTTCTTCATTCTTGAAGGAAGGCACTTATCATTGTTTGTATGCATCCTCATCCCCAAATCCAGAAGGATGAGATCGAGATATTGATTAAGGAGATGCTGGAGAAAGAGATCATACTGTTGCAAATCTATTTTCATGGCTTATGTTTTGATGATTGACAAAGACTATTTCTCTTGGACTGCTTGTTGCTTCTAACTTTTCAGGAATCGAAGATCGGACGAACAAGACAAAGCCAGTTCAGGATTGCGTAGGTTTAGGGTTGAGTCAGTCTGTACTTTTGTTTTTCACTTTTTGAGTCTACTTGTAATGGTCAAAGAGACTGATGCTAAGTAACTCTACACACACACACTTGAGAGACTTAGAATTTCTGTTTTTACTCATATCGGCCAGGACGATTTTTATATCGGCCTGAGCTTCAGGAGGAAGCAAAAGGAGGTAGGTTCTCAGCCTTTCCGGGGTGGCAAAAAGGAGGTTCTTGTGAGGGCTTCTCCGCCTAGCCGTGGGGGCTAAAGGAGAGTCACGTTTTGTAGTGCAATACTTGGAGGGTGCCTCCAAGGAGTGGACGTAGGTCGAGTTGACCGAACCACTATAAATTTCTATGTTCTTGTTTTCTTACTTCCGCACTTTTAATTCCGCATTTATTTTTTGTGGCGTGATTTTGGTTTATGTTTTTTATTCTTTGTTAAAAGAAATTTTAAAATACCAATTCACCCCCCCCCTCTTGGTTAGCTTGGGCCAGTTCTATAGGGCTTAACATCCCTAATGAACTATCACATACGACCCTGTACTAATCCATTTTTTAGTCCAGTGCTATTAGTCAAGTGCTTCAGTAGCAGTTTTCTTCATTCCACCTTGAGGACAATGTGGCACTTTGGGAGGGTAGTATTGATGGACCGACTGATTTGATTGGGAGGAAATCGAAAAGTTTCCTAATCAAGAGGGAGCTGTTTAGAAAGGTTCTTAATCAAAGGGGGGTTATTTAGGAATGTTTAAGTTACAATTGGGAGTGAATTATTTAAGCAAGAGACCTAATTTGAATTCAAAATCTAAGAGGGAAATATTTAGGAAAAATGAGTAATTAAGGGGAGTTTGTTTAGGAAAGTTTTAATTACAATTGGAAGAGAATTAATTAATGAAATAAATCTAATTTGAATTCAAATCTGAAAGGGAATTATTTAGGGAAAGGGGCTGATTTGGGAGGGAATTATGTGAGCCTATTAAAGGCTAACAATAGGGTGATTTCATATTAGGTTTTCAGAGTTTGCAGAATTTAGTTTAGTATTAAGTTATTTGGGCTCTAGCCGGCGGCTAGGGATTTGGGAGAGCTGGATCTTCCTCTCCAATTGAAGATCCAACTGTATCTTGCTATTTTCTTCCATATATCTTATAATAAAAATAATTTTGGTGTGTTTTTCTTCCTAATTTCTTTTTTTTCATTCGTTGATTTCGAGAAAATTTTATTCACTTCCTATCAGAATTTGCAGAAAAAGTGTGCTGAAAATTAGGCTTTCAACCAGATACCACCCCTGTAAAGACTTTTCCCAACCATCCATGCACGTGTGATTTTTATCAACTATGAATTGATTTCCATTTCTTTTATTTTCTGGTGTCTTGATTAGGTACCAATTAGCACGAGAATTGGCCTAAGTTTAATTTGGGCAACACTTGCATCCATTTGAAAGCCCAAGAATTAAATATAGTTTGATGAGCATGTCAACTTTGGTTGGTCCTATGAATAGGGTTGGCTTGCCGCCTTAATGGATTTTTATCGAGCTAATTAATTAGGTCAGTGATTACATTTTTAGAAGGCCCTAAGTGAAAATGGAAAAATATTGCAAGGGATTTTATTATGATATTTCCATAATCTAGACATGGGTGTGATAGCATTTGGGTGATTATTGACAGACTAATAAAATCAACTCACTTTTGATTTATCAAACAAACTGATTTGGTAGACAAATTGATACGCTTGTATGTGAAAAAAATTGTCAGATTGCATAGTACTCCAGAAGTTATTGTTTGAGAAAGAGATGTTCGATTTACTTGTAAGTTGTGGAAAGACATTAATGAAAGCTTGGGCACAAAACTATATTTCAGTACAGCCTTTCATCCCCAGACAAACGATCAATCTGAAAGAACAATTCAGATATTAGAAGACTTGTTGAGATTATGTAATGTGGACTTTCGAGATAGCTAGGAAGACCATACCAATGATAGAATTTGCTTACAACAATAGTAATCAATCAAGCATAAAAATGGCACCATATAAAGCACTTTATGGTAGAAAGTGTAGAACACATTTAAATTAGGTTGAAGTAGGAGAAAGATAGTTGATGGGCCAGAGCTAGTTAATGAGGTAGCGGAGAAAATTAAATTAATTAGAGATAATTTGAAAGCTGCCCGGGATCGCCAACATAAATATTATGACCCCAAACACAAAGCAATAGACTTTGAAGATGATGATTTTGTATTTATAAAAGATAAACCTATTAAAGGTACAATGAAATTTGATTGAGGAAGCAAGTTGAGTACCAGATATATATGACATTTCAAGTTATTGAGAAGATTGATAAGGTTACTTACAAACATGCACTACCAGTTGACATTTCAGATATTCATAATGATTTTCATATATCAATGCTAAAGAAATAGGTTACGTCAATCAATGAATTTTGCATGATGAAATTGATATACAAAAAAATCTAACTTATATTGAGTAATGTGAAAGAATATTAAATTATGATATGAAAAAGCTTAGAAACCATCAGATCCCATATGTTAAAGTGACATGAAAATACAAAACAAACAAAAAAACAACTTGGGAGAAGAAAGAAGAAATAAGATGGAAACTCCCTCATTTGTTTGGTGAACTACTAAGACAATGAATTTTGAAGAAGAAAATTCAATAAAAAGGGGAGGACTATAATACCCAAAAATTTTCAAAAGGTAAACATAATTTTTTCCGAAATCATACCCCATTTTTCACACATTCAGAAAAATATCTAACTTATTTTTATAAAATTCTATTTTTCATTTCGATCATTTTGATATATATAAGCATATGTAAAATATAAGCCTAATATAGAGGTGAGACCAAAGGACAAATCCATGGCACAGAGTTGTGCATAATATGAGGGCATATGAGTAGGAGGTGTGAGGTGGAGATGATTGCGGTCAAGAGACGGGTCATCCGACCTATCGGAGAGAAGCAATTTGGCATAGCATGGATATTTGAGTGAGATAGTTAATGTTCAAAAGACTTGGTGAGAATGCAAGTTAACATAGGTATACGGATGCAAGTTGACACATATATATAGAAGGCGTGCAAGTGTGGAATTAACTAGCTAGGCGATGAACATTTGAACAGATCCAAAAAAATCAAAAAAAAATGCATATGAAAATTTAGCAGTAGGCAAATTACAAGAACAAAACTGAGGTATGTAAATAGATAATGCTTCTAAATGTTTATAGTTTTTTGCATCATCGTTTTTTCCACTTATTGTATTCAAACAAGTTATAAAAATGGCATGAATTTCACCTCATCAACAATTGAAAAGTCCAGCATCAAACTTGGCCACTAATTCAAACGTGTAAAAACTTGGTGATAAAAACTGTAGCCACAGATGGATAACACTATCATGGCCACGAAATCAAACCTATGAAGAATATGTGATGTGGAATTCCAAAAGAATGGTGGTTTTTATATGAATAATGGACTCATTGCTGGATAACCTGCACCTGTGAAGTTAAATTCTACTAATTAAATGAAATCAATAAGGTTATGTTATGCCTAACATGGACCGAGGGGTTCCAAAAGCACTCTATATTTACCTAGCACCCACTTTACTGCAGAGAAAAACACCAGTATTTAAACTTCCCAAATCAATTTTACAAGCAAGACTTAAAAACGTCATTCAATCATATCAACAGATATCTAAAGGTTTCGTTTGGGACAGATTTCTTACTATCTTTTAAAGCAATTTTGTTATTGTTTTATAAAGCAGCTTTGAATACAAAACTTTCTAGTTCAAAAAATTTTTGTACGAAAAAGATGCACTAGAAAGTAGTAAAAAATATGTCCCAAACAAAGCCAAAACCAAGTAAAAAGATAAGATCCTAACCAAACTAGTGGGCAGGATTATCCAAATTGCTTCTGAATCAAGTTGAAAAAAGTGTACATTAAAAGGGAAAGAATATGTAGGAAAAACCTTTGCAACAACACAAAGAAGCTCTTCATGAGATAAAATAGCCGCCTTGCGATACATGCGATACAAATCTGCACCAAATCTACCATGAGGTAGCCAGTCAGCAGGAGCGAAATTGACAGCTTCAGCACAATTTAAGCCTAGGAAAGCAGGCAATATTCTGAGTACTTTAGAAAACCAGAAAATAATATGCTACGTCACCAAAGATTTAAAATTTTATAATTGCAAACTTACCAAAATTAAAACCCCCATGGAAGGACTTGGGGAAAGTAACGACAAAATTTCTAGGCTCCTGACAAAACACAATATCAAAAAAATAAATAAAAATAAAAACAAACAGGATAGTCCACACCTGTAAAATAAGTATGACTTTATAAAATATTGTTAGGCCAGATTAGAAATGTTGCCATAATGATGCATATTCAATGTTCAAGAATTCCAGACTATTAATGAAGATGCAGAGATATAACTTTAACTTGAAAACCTAAACTAATCCCACGTTTCAAAATATGAAATGTGGATAGAACAAATTTTTATACAAAAGGTATTAACATAGCTTTCCTAGATCAAAATGGTGGATAATAAGGCCTGTAAACAGCCACCACAGGACTAACTCAAATGCTCAAAGCTCAACATTTAATTAATACTCATCCCGAAGTTGTTTGAAAAAATTTATAGAAAGATAGATACATAAAATATGTAATAAAATATAAATAACAGTATAGATTGTTATACTTAGCAGACTACGGAGGTGAGTTAAGAGCAAAGAAAACCCTTCCTGAATCCTGCTGATTATTTAGGTATAATATCCTTATATATTGCTTCAAGTCATATCCTTATAATTAATAATGTTGATATTCAAGTCATTAAGGATATATATGCAAGAACTATTACTTGTGTTCAAACATAAGATGATTTAACCAAGTATTTTCCTATTTCTGTCGGATTACATCAATGACCAGCCTTAAGCCTATATCTTTTTGCTTTAGTCATGGATGTTCCCACTAGACGTTTGAAAGAGATTGTACCATGGTGTATTCTTTTTGCTGATGATATTCTTCTTGTTGATAAGGCTAGAGAGAGAGTTGAACATAAAACTGAATTTTGAAGGTCAATCTTAGACCCTTAAAGGTTTTCGCTTGTGTAGATCTAAAACCAAAAGTATGGAGTGTAATTTTAATAGTAATAGATCTAGTTAGTGATTGTGATTTGGGCATCAAGTCATTAATAAGATTACACGTTTTAGATATATTGGGTCTAACAAAGTGATGGTGCAATAGATGGAAATATTATTAATAGAATTCAAGTTGGAAGGTTGAAGTGGAGGAATGCATCGAGATTGTTATAATACCCAAAAAGTCAAATATACATATAAGCATAAATTTCCTATAAACGTTGACTTATTTTCATTAAATTCTACTTTTTAATTTTGAGCATTTCAACATAGAAGTATATTTAAATATTAATCTAATTTAAAACTAAGCTAATTAACTATTAATTGATAACTATTATCAGTTAATAAATAGTCATTTAATTATTTTATTAATATTATTGTAGCTTACCCGCTTACATAGGCATGCAAGGGCTGAATAACAGATGGTTGTAATCAGCTGCGGATATTTGCCTTGGGAAATATTAGTGGAACTTAATGTTATTATTATATTAGGTGGCCTAAAGCATTCAACTACAGCCATTTGTACATTTCTTTTCCCTTCTCATTCACGGCATTTCCTGGCCTACGAAGCAGCTGCTTGCTACCGAGAGAAATCTGCGACCACATGAGGGGGACGCAGGCCGGAATTGGTGCTAAGGCTGTTATAGCTAATTTCTAGGTTTAGGTAAGGAAATTTTATTTCTGAAATCAGGTATATAAAACAGAAGAGAGCTACTGAATTGCTAAATTGCAGAACTTGATAAGTAATTGTTGAAATATGTGTAGTTGTTGCTGAAATTTCAGCATAGGACTGTTGTGTAAATGGCTGAAATCAACTGTGTTGCTGAAATCAATAAGAAAAAGAAAAAAAAAACGGTAAGTAGAGTATTATTTTTGGTTGAAAGTAGGTAATGGTTACTGATGCATTTTACTAAAATATAGGGATTGGTGAAATCAATTTGCCGAATTTAATAAAGAAAGAGAAGAAAGGAAGGGAGTTAGGTTGAATAAGGAAAAGTTTAGTAGATGCGGTGTGAAATGGAAAAAGAAAGCAGGATCTAGGAAAATAAATTCATGGCAAGGTGAGATACCCAAATGATGTCATAGGAAATAGTAAAAATTTTATATATTTATAAATTCATATTTGTTATGCTTATGATAGCATTTATTTCAGTTTATTCCAATTTTTCATATATAAATGGTTGATTCATTAAATAGTGATTATAATAGCTGTAAGATTGTGAGAAATGAATCATATTGGAAAGATAAAATAAGTTAAATATGAGGGCTAAGCCCGCACAAGTAAAGGTGAAAGACCTGCTGAGATAAGCCTATACTCTCGAAATTTTAAAAGTTGAAAATTTAAACTCAATCTTAAATGAGATAATAACTTTAATTCTAAAAGTTAAGAGTTCATACCCAATATTGAATTAGAAAGTTGGAATGGTACAAAAGTCTATAGCCACCATATGACTTGTATAAAAATGTTGAACAAGAAACAAATCAGAAAGTGATTTTATGCATTTCTTATATCTAATTTGAAATTTTAAATGTGTTTTAAATTAATTGTCAATATGTTTATTATTTCTTATACATTGCTTGCATATTTCATTAAGCTCTAACTCATTAGCAGTGATTGTACTGCATGAAAAAAAGGAGTCAGTAGGGCACTAGATATAAAGGGTGATTGAACTTTTTATGTAGATACACTTTTGGATGTACAAAGAGATCTGAGTAGGTGTTGTACAGACACTTTTGGGTATGTAAATAAATTTTTAAAATTTTAGTAAAGATTTGTATTTCATTTGAGGTGTGCATTTATTTGAGGTATTTTACATATACTTCCTGTCATAAAGTATAAAAAATAGATATGTTAAGATAGTCTTATAAATAGGTTACTTCTTACTCGTCTGATTATGATAGAAGTGGTCAGAATGGGTGCAAGTAAGAAGAAAGTTCGTTCAAATTCTCCTACTCTGTTATGCTCTTGATTTACTATAGAGTGTTAAAATGAGGTGGGACACTTATTGTGTGATAAAAAAGTCCCCCTCAAACTTAAAAGAAAAACTTTATAAGATAGTGGTGATACCTAGAATGCTTTGTGATGCATAATGTTGGCCATTAAAAGAGAAGCATAATATTAAGTGTTGCAGGAATGAGGATGATCAGGTGGATGAGTGGCTTTACTCTTAGAGACGTGATACAAAATGAGCATACACGTGAAAAGGTTGAAGTAGCTCATGTGGAAGATATGATTAGAAAGAGTCACCTTAGATGGTTTGGTCACATAAAACAGCAGCCTTTCGATGACTTGATTAGGAAAGTAGATTTATTAGATTTGGTTTATATTAGGAAAGGCAGAGGTGGACCTAAAGAACTTGGTTATAAAATTTAAAAATGATCTTTCTTTATTAGATTTAAATGAGAATTTATATATATATATATATATATATGTTATGTATGTACATACATGTATGTATATATGAGTCAAGCATAGCTCACTAGAAATAGGATTGTCATCATTCCTAGGACAATCTTATTTCATAATATCAGTTTCCAGTTTTTAAGAGCTTCTGAATATTCCTTTCGCTTGGAAAATAGCTGCCTTTAAGGGCCACCAAAAGATTTATTGACTATCACGGGGCTAGCACTTGAGTGGAAGAATTAGACTAATAGCTATGGCTTGGGATACTATTTAATAAGTCTCATGTAGTTGTATAAAGAAGTGGCTATTTCTTGCATGCTGAATGATTTGAAAATTTAGCACAAAGTATCAAAAGCATTCAACGAAAGCAATGAAAACTAAATTGAAGAAAAAAGAGAAAAATAGGAGTTCTAGTTATAGACCCATCTCTTAAATACGAATTTAATGTGCAAGTCAGACATAATCATGACTGTTTTCTTCCTTTAACTAACCTGAATGACACTGTAGACCGGAATACCATTATCTTGCAGAATGGACGGATTAAGCATGGTCACAAGTTGAAAGAGTAGATCAGGTTGTGCATCAAATAGATCTGGTAGAGTACTCCTCATGACCTGTGGCACGATTAAAACAAAAAATTTGTGGCAAGTTATGAAACTTTTTCCTGCAGTTAACCAACAATCTATGACAGAGGCTCCACCCATAACCATTACTGTACAGCATACTAAACGCCCAGTAAAAAAGAAGACATTCATATAAAATGAGGGAACGTATTACAAAATATCAAGAAGCAAAAGAAACGCACTGCAACAGATTGAATGATAAACAAAACATACACGAGAGAACATGATCATGATTGGTGACAAAAATAAAAGCAGCAACAAAGATTTCAGAAAAACAATGAATGAGAGAAAGTCGCAAAGCATGTGATGTGACATATTTAACAATTTCTGATTTCTAGCTAGTACCTGTTCAAACGCACGGGCTTCTCTACCAGGCACACCATACCAACACTTTGGATCCCCCCTAAAAAAGCATGATAACCAAATTAATACAATTATTGAACTATAGGAAAAGCAATACTTGTTAAGCAAAAAATATTTTTTTGGACAAAAATGCATAATTTAGACGGCCATAACCCAGTTTTCAAATACTATAGCCAGCTTTGTCACTCTGCTTATTTACCAAAATTCCTACTAATAGAAGTAGCAAAGAAGATAAATAAATTTACAGGATGGATGTTGAGATGATACTTTGAACCAACAGCATAAACTTGTAGATTATCCGGTTTGGTTGTCTGTCATAGAGGACATAGAGCTATTTCATAGATCAAATCACAAAAAGGTGAGTAATCCATAGATGATGTTGCCTTTTCTTTTGCTTTCTTTTGTGGGAGAAGAATATGTAAATAGGATACAGTGAATTCCACCTCATTCTCAAGGGAAGTGCTAATCCAGGACAACTCAAGATCAAGTTAAATAGAGTGAATCATTAAATACCACCTCATGCAAAAGGAGAATGATAATCCGGCAAAACCCAATTATGTAAAATAGGGTGTGCATCATATGGGCAAACTAGTTAAAATTTCAATCTTAAGTCATCTCATGCAAAGCATAAGAATAGTCAAATATTTACTGTACGACAATTTAAGAAGCAAGTAAGTAGCATTAGCATGCGAGGACAAACAAAGATAAAATATATCAAACAAGTTTTAGAAAGCACAACTTTAGGTAAGGAGAGCATTAAAAAGGCAGAAGATACTACTTCAGCAATTTTGTAAAAGAGAGAGCATCATATGGGCAAACTCAACAAGATTTCAATCTAAAGTAATCTCATGCTAAGCACAATAATTGCCAAATATTTAAGTGAATGGCAAAATTTAAGAAAGTGAGGAAGTAAGCATTTCTCAAAGAAAAAATAAAATTTAACATGATTGTTTGGACAATACAACATTGAGCTAGGAGATCATTAAAAAAGCAAGGGATGCCAAAGTATGAAATAGATAAGTAGATTGAGACAGAACCCATACTGAATGCCACAAATACCTAATAACTGTCTGAATATGCAACGCTCTTTTTGAAATGAATGAATCATTCAAAAAATGAAAGAAAACGTGAGAGGATAAGGAGCATAGAATTAGTTGAAGAAAAACTAAATAAATGGCATGCAAGAGAAGTCTACGGGGTACTATGTTTAGTATTTATAAGAAAGATTACATTATATGCCTAGCATATGATAGAGTTGTTGAGACATATGCTTAAGGTGTATATTAAAAAGTAAAAAACTAAGCGGTTGAAATACATCATTATAGTACTATATCAACTCACGATATCCTAAAAAGCTAAAGGAGAACACTATGAACAGTAATCAGGTAAAGTTGCATGGATGTCAGCATTAGTCATTGTTATAAAAAATGAGATGCTTGAGGATTGAGATGTCAGTGTGTTAAAGTTGGAAAGGCTTGAAAAGAAAATGCTTATATGAAAGTGTTCGAGTATGAAATGAATGAGATCACAGTAAAGCACTTGGCTTGTTCAGGGATATGTAAAGAAGAGTGGAACATATAAGAAAAGAAGACAAGAATACAAAATTAATGTGAAAGGAATAAAACAAACAGTCGAGACAAAAGATACAACAACAAGCCTTTACCCCCCTATGTGGGGTCGGCAACATGAATCTTTTTTCTCCATTGTGCCCGGTTAAGAGTCAAATTCTCATTTAGATTTAATAAAAAAATGTCATTTCTAATATTTTCTAACCAAGTCTTTTTAGGTCTACCTCTACCTTTCTTAACATAGGTTTTTTTTTGTTTTTTTTAACATAGGTTAAATCTAATACATCTACTCTCCTAACTGGACCTCTACCTTTCTTAACATAGGTTTTATTTTATTTTTTAACATAGGTTAAATCTAATACATCTACTCTCCTAACTGGGTTATCCAAAGGCCGACATTTTATGTGACCAAATCATCTAAGGCGGCTCTCTCTAATCTTATCTACTACTGGAGCTACTCCAACCTTTTCACGTATATGCTCATTTCATATCATTTCTCTAAGAGTAAAGCCACTCATCCACCTGATCATCCTCATTTATGCGACACTTAACTTAATATTATGCTTCTCTTTTAACAGACAACATTCTGCACCATAAAGCATTGCAGGTCTCACTACCATCTTATTGAATTTTTCCTTAAGTTTGAGAGGGACAGTTTTATCACACAACAATCCCGATGCATTCCTCCACTTCAATCATCCAACTTGAATTATACTAATAATATTTTCATCTATTTCACCATCACTCTGAACAATAGACCTAAGATATCTAAAATATGTACTCTTATTAATGGCTTGATCACCCAAAGTCACAATCCACCCACTAGATTTATTATTACTAAAATTAGACTCTATATATTCAGCTTTAGATCTACTCAAACGAAGCATTTAGACTCTAAGGTTAACCTCCATAATTCAAGTTGTCAAAGATTATAGTTGGTTTAATTCCTTCTTATACATACTTGAAGTCGTACAGTTCTTGATTTTTTTTTAGTTTATGTTATAAGAATGTCAAAATGAAATGTATATATTTCATCGAACTTATCTTCCAGTTGAAAATTATCCTCTTAAAAAAATTTTGGTTGAAAAAATATTGCTTCTCATTAAAGATGATATCTTTTAAAGTAGGAATATTTTTTTGCACTAGTATGATAACACTTGCACCTTTTAAAGTGAAATAAAACCCAATAAAAACACATTTAAGGCGGTACGATCATATTTACCCCTATGTTATTTATGGATGTGGATATTAGCAACACATACAAAGATTTTTAGAAGATTTTTAGAGGAAGTTATTTGTAAGGAAAAAGTCAACCATGTAATTTTAAGACTTTTAAAGCCAATTACTCTTGAGGTGCTAATATTGATTAGGTTTGGTACAATTAGGACAGTTATGTTAGGCCGATTCACCCTGAACCGGCCCAGCCAGCCCTTGGGCCAACTTAGATCTACTACAGGAGGCAGAAACTATCCGCCTCCCATGGTCTTGCCCGCCCACATTGAGGGCCCCACTAGACCACTTGATTTCAAATTGAAAGGGAGGGGGCGATTTGGGCTTGGGAGAGAAATTAGATTAGAAAAGTTTTTGTATTAAAGAGCATAAGATGTTTAGGGAGAGATTATGTTTTGATTTGTTCTTAATTAGGGTTTCTTGGCGACTTGGGCTCTAGACTCTCTTGTCTAGAGATTTGGGAGAGACGATCCTCCTCTCGAATTGAGATTCTCTTGTATCTTGTTTCATTATTGTTTGGCTTTGATTTTCCTACCGCAATATATCATTTTGGGCTGTTTTCACCCAGATTGCACATTATTCTCGTTGTTTTTCACTGATTGGTGATAGGTTTGCTTGCGAACTCAAGTATTTCCTATCAAGTTACTCTCCAGTGTCTTTTTAGCACTTGATTCCGGAAGAAATACTCTTGATGACTTTCAAAATATTGTGATTTTTCATTCATGTCATTTTATTTTATTGAAGAATTCAAGGACATAAGGATTGATGAATGATACATTATTTCTAATAGAAAGATGACAATGTCATTAAATTAATGACGAGCATTATCAATTCGAAATATCTTGACGTTAATATTAAATTATTTTTGTATCATAATAGGAAAAATAGAGGGAATAATGCAACATCAAATCTTTGTTTAATAAAATATATCAATGTCATCCGAGTGCAATCATCAATGAAGGCGATAAATCTTATAGCTCAAGAAATATTGAGGATTTCAAAAGTCCCCAATTTTAAAATGAACTACTAGAAAATGAGTAAAAAATTCAGAATTACTTTCAAACATAATAACATGATGAATTTTGGCAATTTCACAGGTCTCATAATATTTTTTTTTCATGTTCGCATTCAAAAAAGAGAAAAATATATAACGTGTAGAGTTTTAAAAGAGAGGTGCCCTAGCTAATAATAATGTTTACAAAGAACTTTTGTAATGAGGGTGGAAATAAATGAACATGAAATGTAATTTTCAACTACAAGAAGACATAACTCATCATTTCTTTAGCTTGCCCAACCATCCCTTTAGTGAGATCCTAAAATACATAATGATAAACAAAAATGTTGCATTGCAATTATGACCGTTAGTAATTTTATGGATTCATAAAATATGCAATAAAAGAGAAAAAATAAGAAGCAATGTTATGAAAAATTAGTTTAAATGTAAAAGCTAAAAAATTAGGAAAAATATAAAGGGGCACATAAGAAGTCTAAGAAAGCACTATGTGGAGCAAATAACATAATTTATATAGATTAAATATAAAGGAAGGCAAAAGGTAAATATATAAGGTAGTCAAATAAAGAGATAGGAGAAATAATGATTTAATTCAAGTGAAATGCAACAATGATGAAAGCCAAAAAGAGCTTTTCTTAGAAGGTTGAATGAGATATTTCGATAAATTTTTCAATAAAAGTTGTGAGAATACAATTGACTTTAGTGATCTTAACAATTTAAATGAAATTAGATATTTTTATTTTATTGTCATATCATTAAAATAGAAGTTGGAGAGGTTAAAAAAAATCTAAAAAGCAGCAAGATCTAATAATATTCCAATAGATGTGTGGAAATGCTTAGGAGTTCAAGAAATTTCTTGGCTTGCTTAACTTTTTAATATTATTGTGAATACTAAATGAGAACAAACGGGATGTATTGGTTCTTACTTTCTCAGAATAAAGGTGATGCACAAAACTGTGTGAATTATAGAAGTATCAAGTTAATATGTCATATTTTAAAGTTTGAGAGAAAGTAATTGAAAATAGGTTACTAATGTTTCTCAAAATCAGTTTAGATTCATGCCGAGTAGATCTATTATGCAAGCTATATATTTGTTTAGAGGTTTGATGGAGAAGTATACAGTACATAGAGAATAAGAAGGATCTACATATGATGTTTGTTGATTTAGAGAAAGCATATGATAAAGTTTCAAAAGAAGTGCTATAAAAAGTTCTAAAAACAAAAGGAGTC